ACAACATTTCCATCCCCTTTAGTGTGATTTGTCTGTGAAACCATCACACCTCATTAATTATTGAAACTGAAGTGCTGCCTACTGAGCCAAAGAGGCAAGTGGCATCCCTTACTGAAATACCCAATTCAGAAGTCACTAGGCTAATCCCCTCCCAGAAGAAACAGGGGTGCAGAGGAAGCATCCCCCCTTTTCCAAAGTAGAAGGTAGCGGAAGTTAATGGAAGATGGGTGGTGCCGTTAGACTCAGATTCATTCTGGTAAGAATTCCAAGGTCAGTGTGTCACCTCACACTTTGCCTTACTCACCCCTTTCAGTTTAAGGATACTATGTGTATTCTACGGAGTAAAGGAATGAAGGCATTGGATGGATTTACTAACAGAAGATTAGGAACCTGCTTGAAAATGCCCTGGTTTGCTACTATGAAAATGGTTTAACTTAACCATGTATGTGAAAATTCATGATAAAGGACAGAGAGTGATGAGTCAAAATCACTAAAAAAAGAGGCATAGATTTTAGTACATGCAGCATCTCTCTAAATGCGTTTGTGTATTCTTGGTGACTGACTAATAATTAATTTATGCATGTTTAGTCTCTCGTATTACTGAAATTCAAAATAACTTCAAAAATGTTGTAGCTGCTTATCAGTATATTTTTATTTACAACAAATTTTGCTTACTATTTTTTTCTAAGTATTTGTTTGGTAAATGTTAAAATACATTAACATGTTCACAGATGACATAGATTAAAGCCTTCCTCATTAATCATGTGCTTCCAAAAATGTTTAAGAATTTGATAATCTTATGGTACGTAACTCTTTTCATTATGTTCCCTTCCTGTGTGATAATTATGTCACCGTGTTATCACTAAACTGTTCCCTTCTAAACACTTTGTAAAGTGAAAGTGGAATTTCAGAAACAGGAAAAACATCTCCTTGCTATGATAGAGACAATGAAGAATGAACCTATGCTCATTTAATGTGTTATTTTGTCAACATTGTAGATATTTAAAATCAATACTAATAGAATAACTAGATTTCAATAGTATGTGGTATGTGCTCTGTACTGTATTAATCAAAGATATTAAAAGTTAAGAGAAGACAAACGCTTTCCCAGAGATTACAAGCATGGAAAAACCATTGAATTATCTGAATATAATAGAAATGGAACTCCAAAGACACAAAAATAAGAGAGGACTTTGCCAAAGCTTCCTAGAAGAAGGGAAGTTTTAAAAACCAAAGTCTGAGGTGTGGACACCTGTGGTCACCAAATGTTACCAAGTGTCAGTCATTACTACTGTTGTTGCTACTTAGTCCCTAAATGTGACAGCTTTGCTCTGTTTTACTCTAAAGGGCTGTGATATGAAAGATTTTGATACTGTATATAGATCCATGTATTTATAGTAAAAAAAAAATAAATAAAAAAGTAGACCTTTTGCCACTCTTATTTATTAAATAAATTATTAAATTAAAAGGATAATTTTCAATGAATCGGTCATGAAAGTATTAAACCTTCAAAACGGAGAAGCAAATTTCAGTCAACTTCTGATTTTCCCAAATAACTAAGCTGTTATAAACAAGCTGAAGATATTCTGCCACTTCTTAGGGTAACAAGAACTGGAAGGATTTTTTTTTTCATACATATGAGTTGATAGTCCACATCTGTAAAAACATGGTGAAAACTTAGCCTACACTCTATCTAAGCTTAAAGGAATGCTGGACCATGAGATGCTGCTAACGTTAGGAAGTGTCTCTGGAGACACCTGGTGATTTCTCCAGACCCTATGGCATGTAATATGCCATGTTCATGCATGAACCTTAGGAACTAAAAATAAGAACCGGGCATTGCAAAAGATCCTGTCTTAATTTTACTACAAGTACGAATGAAGTATGACGCAAACTGGAAGAGATGATATGGGAGCATTGAAGCTTACCTGTGACTCAGTTCAAACCTAGGGCGTCATGGCAGAGGTGCTTCCTTGCCTTTGTCATTGTTTATACTCCTGACTTTCCCTGACACTAAAATTAACTGTCACTTTGACACAAAGCCCTGCCTATACAGAAATAAAAGACTAAAAATAAAAAATAAAAGTAATAATCACTTCTGTACAACTTTTCCCTACAAAATGTAGAACAAGTTCATTAGGTAAAATTTGCTAATGAAAGCAGTTCTGTGCAAGAGAAAGGAAAATCACCGTAATTATTATTATTGTTATTATTTTACCATTTCACCTGGAGTTTCTGCTCATCTTGATTAGTTTCCAAATAGTCACAAGATATTTGCATTGACACATATTTTTCACCAGGCTTCTTTCTCAGAAAGCCAAAAAGAGGGAGCAGACCCTTATGAATGTAAAACAAAGGTGCCAAAGTATGGGACAGAGGAAAACTTCATCAAAACAGGTATTCTCATCATCAAAATTTATATTCGATAAGGATATATTTTTCTTTTAAAAGCATTATTAAAGCTACCATAATTTCTGGAATAGTCTATATGTATACAATGGGGATTTTAATATTATAAACACTATAATCTGTATATGAGTTTTTCTGTCTTCAAACACTTATTTTTATTTTAAATTTACTTAATTTTATTTTATGCGTATTGGTGTGAGGGTGTCAGATCTCTTGGAACTGGAGTTATAGATAGCTGTGAGTTGCCATGTGGGTGCTGGGAATTGAACCTGTCCTTTGGAAAAGCAGACAGTGCTCCTAACCACTGAGCCATCTCTCAGCTCTTCCAACAACTTCTGTAGTGCTCTTAACATGTAAATGGTTTCTCATAGAGACCTTTGAATTAGTTAGACCTTTCCTTAGAGTCCTGGGAAGCTATCTTAGGTTCCTTGAAAGGATCTTACCCACAACCAAACAAATGAGCCCCTACTGCAGCCTAACCTTTGCAACATTTATTTATTTGTTCACACAAATTAGTACCATGCTGACTCATTATCGTTGGTTCTAAAACGAACGGTGTGGTGATTTATCTTATTCTCTTATCAATGTAATTTTTAAGAATTATGGTTATTTATTAAGAACATAAAAGCCAAATGGAAAAATACGAATTTCTCCTTTTTTAATCATCAAGAGAACATTTACACAATATTGAGAGTATTAAAACATTGTGAAGAGCACAGGGACACAATGGGTGGTTGATGAATGTCACTTCCCTTCTCCAGAAATTTTCCACTTAACAAGTCGGTAAATTCCATGTGAAATTTTGGCAGTCCAAATCAGTACCATTTAATTGTCTCTCAGCTACCTCCTGATCCTCTCCTTATCTCATCACACATCATTTCCTGGCCTTTCTTTTGAAGGGCCAAGGCCTGCTCCCATCTCCTGACCTGGGACATCACTTAGTAGCCTGTCAGAGAAAGCGCCACTGCCCAGGGCTCCAAGACAACAAGGGGCTAAAGCAATTGATGGCTGTGGCTGATCACTGCCAATTTTGCTGCTTCCTGCTCATCATCTGGCTTTAGAAGGAGAGGGAGGGTTAGGCTTTCACAGAGTTGATGACATAAACCTCCCTCCCTTCCTTATCCTTCACATTTTTCTTTCCACATGCCAACCGGCTCTGATTGCCCTTGCCCTGACAGTTGCCATGGGTTACACAAAGCAGCAGCACAACTCAGGAGTGTGTAGGTGTGGGTGTGGGGCGTGGGTCTTATCGTCTCCTTTATGTACACGTAAACTCTTTTCTTCAGGTTCAATTCTCCATCTTTCCAGCGTTTGTGCATGTATTCAAAAGAATTCTTTTCCTTGGAACTTGAGGCTTTAGGTCCTTTCTCATTCCTGGTACTTGTTGCTGCTTTTTCTGTCGCAAGTAAGAGTTCCCATTTGATGGGGGTGTGATATGAAGGGGTTGGGTGGAGAAAAAAATGTGCAGGAAGGGATACTGCATTTTATTAGGGTTTGACACTAAATGGTGAATAGTTTGCCAGTTTAACTCCCTACATTCTTAATACCTAATGCCTGAGGTCAGCGGGCCCCTGTTGCCAGGCATGCGTCTCCAATCCAGTCCCCACATTCCAGATAGTGCTGCCAGAGCGCAGAATTGTCTCCTTTTCCTGTCAAGATCCTCCTAGCGTTGGGACTTAAGCAAAGCCACGAGGTTGAGCACAAGTCATCAGGAAAGTAACATCAGTTCAGAAAACATCTCTCCAGCCTGCCAGGGCAGTTGGGTAACTTGAGCCAGACTAGAAAGGACACTAGATGGGACAGCTCCTCGGGGGTTAAATGCCCAGGAGGGGTCACTTCTGGGGCCAGAAGCTTCCCTGGCTCCAGAACACTTACCATAACCTCATTTCACAGCCAGAAAGCTTTGCGGCTGGTGTCTGACTTCAGATCCTCCCAACCCCCTCCCCTGAAAGAGGGATGTGCACTTCCATCTGACCGCCAAGTCGCTATGCCTTTGCAAGAAAATAAGATCTCCTATCTCCCTTTCACACAACCCAAACAACCACCTCGCTCTCACCTTCTGTGCTCCGAGAAAAAACGGAAAGGGAGCGAACTGGGTGCAGTTGCATTTTTTTGCGTAGTTCATCCGGAACCGTCCCTATCACCGGGGCACCGAATGAACCTGTAGTCCTTGGGAGTCTGGGAGCATGTCCCTAAGCTCCCTTGGGGACCCAGGCTAGGAAGGGGACATAGGAGGGGGTATCCGGGGAGAGCGCAGAGTTCTCAGGCAAGGCGCCCCAGGAAGCAAACTTAGGGCGGCGGTGGCTGGCGGGACTTCGGGAAGAGATTCTGAAGCACAGCGACGGGGTGGCACTGCGCCCCAGTAGTCGCACCGTCTCCCGAGCGGAGCTAGCGGGCTCCCCAGCCCGACCAGCGGCACAACCGCTTCCCAAGGGCTCTCCGGCTCCTTGTGAGACTCGGCACAGGTCCCTGCACGCCAGCCGCTGCGAATTATCACTTGGGATCCACAGTCACCCTCACACCCCTGCTTAACACTAAGTCGCCACAGCACCCTCCCACCGGAGTAGCAGGTGACCTGAACCTAGACTTACCTTCCCGAGAGCAACTCTTGTCGTCTTTCTTTTCCTTGAGACGGCGGTTCAAGAGAGAGGAGGGGACAGCGGACGGGGACCCAGAGGATGGAGACCCCGGGCACGGGCTCCAGTTCTCAGCAGACGCAGCCCAGGCTGAACCGCGGAGCCCGGGCGGCCCTGGCGGAGCGCGGAGGCCGGGGCTACGGCCCGGAGGGAAGGCAGGGGGCGCTCCTGTCCCCCGAGCGTCTCTCCTCGCGCACAGCGACCCAGCAGTTGGCGCTTTGGCCAGGGAGCGTGGTGAGGAAAGGCACGCTGCGAGCAGGAGGGCGGCTTTTAAGTTTGTGGTGTGACCGCAGCAGCTGTCCTGGGAGAGACTCCGTCTTTCTAAAATGGGGGATGCTCAAAACGCCAGGGATTACCTCTCCCTCCAGTCTCCTCCCCCAGCTCCGGGCCCCTTCCGATGTGAAGGCAATCCCTCAGAGCGCGCAGACCTTCCCTGTCTAAGCCGGGCGGTCCAGGGTGGGTTCCGAGGTAGTTCCGGCCGGATCTGAGTGTTGGGGAAGGATAGGGGATTCTGTCAGTCAGTGAAAACAGCCTGTGACGTCCTCGTCTGGGCCTGGGTGATTTAGGGAGCCGTGTATTACCCTCTCTTTCAGAAAGTACCCTGAGAACCTCAGGCAGAAGCGACAGGCAGGGACAGCGGTTGACCACAAATGCCACCTTAAAAATTCCAATCGCCCCGGAAGAGTACAGGTGTTTCTTTGTAAAACTCCAGCCTACAGTTAGTGCCCTTGAAGGGTTGAGAGACTGGACTTAATCCCCCTCGGTGACTCACACCCCTGAGGGACCAGGTGTAAGCACTGCAACTGGAATCTTCACCGTTTCCTCACCTGGCCCGAGATGGGGCAAGAGGGCTTGCTGTGCCTCTCTCTCTCTCTCTCTCTCTCTCTCTGTCTTCGTACATTTTTGCAAACTTTTATCACAGAACGAGAATAATGTGGATGAATACAAGCACCAACCCCGGGCTTATGTTTTCTGGAAACTAAAATTCCCTAATTTAGAGGAGGAGATCCTAAGAAAACCGTGTGGAAATAGCTTACTTTGATGGATTTCTTTAAAAGCAAGGGCTAGCGTAGAGCCAGCCGCGAGGACTTGGAAAGGGCGTGTACAATTGCGTCTTGTAGAAAGTCCCATGGCAAATTTTACCGTGAGCAGAGCTCCACTTCTAACCATAAACTTCGCTGCCACGTGAAGCTCCCGTGAGTGAGTTGGTCTCACAGAAACCCGGGGTTTCAGAGTTTATGTTGAGTTTAAGTATGGGAGCTGTAAGGTTCCCGAGAAACCTTAGCAGATGGCAGGAGGTCTGCCTGCTAGTTTGGGGGTGGTCAGAAGACAAGGGCAAAACGATGGAAGAAATGAAGGGTGTGAAAGAAACTCTTAATTCAGCAGCCTCCTAACAGCCCTGAAAACAGAGGACCACAGAGGCTAAGTGAGTCACTTCACATTGTAAGTGGCTGGTGGCAGAGTCAGCCTAATGAGGGGCTTAAGTTTCCTAACTCTGACCAAGGTTCTGTACTGTGTCTCATGCTGCCCATCTCTGTAACTCTGATTTTGCCTGTCACCACCCAACCCCATAATTTTTCTCTCTGCATACAAGGAAATCGAAATCTTCACAGACTGTTTCTACCCATAGGAAGCTCTTTCTGAAATTTCCCTGTCAGCGTGCCATTCCTTTCATTGCTAACCATAACTTGAGCATATTTCTTGCATTAACCTCTAGTGTCCTGTTGTTTCGTTTGTTTACATCATTAACTATTCATCAAAATTCCAAACGACTTGAATGGCCCCAACCTCCTTTTAACTCCCACAGCATAGCTTTGTGTTTTTTCACATGGAGAATTCATGGTAAGTTGTTCTTCACTTTAAGATTTATTCACTAATTCTTGAATATTTTTGTCAGGTTATTAGCTAGAATATGGCATTTATCTAGAACTGCTGTTAACTCTTGATTCTCTTCCCCCTCTCCCAACCCTTTCCTTCCTGTATAGTCATGGGGCTTAATATCCTTACACTAAAGGACGCTTCCTCATTGCTACCATTTCAACTCTTTCCACAAAGCCTCCAGAGCATTAATCATTCCCTCCTGTTTTCCTAAAGCACTTTGATTTCAGTATTATTAGAAACCCTTTTCATGTTATATCATAATTAGTTAGGCATGTGCTTGCATGCAGTACAACGTGTTGGTTGTTTGTGTGTTTATTTTCCTGAACCTTACTGCAATGCGCATGAGTTAGTTAGCTCATGTTTTAGTTTGAAGTACCCTCACTCCAAATTTAGGTTGGCTTTGCTAGAGCCTTCTGAATGAACAATGAGAAAAGAACATCTGGGGCGTGGGTTCTGTGCTTTCTTTTGTTTTAATTACTCTGAGCACGAAGCAGGCAGAATCAACTGCAGAGCCCCAAATGACGATGAATGGTCTCAGCTGTGCCTGTAGCTGACCAAGACTCCAAGTCCTTCCTGGTATATCCTGAATGTGCTAGGTGTTCAGGAGTCTGGGGACCTGGATACGTTGATGAAAACAGTGCCACTTACGTCCTTTGGCTAAAATACAAGGTGCATCGTGTGGCTTAGCTACACTGGGGGGGGGGGATTACTAGTCAGGATTCAGCAAGCAATCCTTAGTGACAGTGGGAAATAACATGCATCACCATTTAGAACTCCGCAATTGCAGCTAGCGTATCTGCCTCAGACTGAGGAAAAATACAGTGTAAAGAACACATATTTTTCAGGTATTTATATTAAAAAAAAACCGTTTAAGTAACTTGTGTATGGAGAAGCCTCCTGTGCAGAGACAAGAAGAGGATAATTACTGGGTTCAGACCTTCAGCCTAACAGGATGTCATAATTTGGGTGTGTTCTAATAGAAGCTGCTAGATTATGGCTCTTTTTAGCAAATCTGTCATAATTCCCTCTAGCAATATTCCCAAACCAGATGTAACTTCAGTGATTTTGGAAAATAAAATAAAATTAAAAAGAGGGGGTAGGGTTGGGTGGGATGAAAAAGACGTTACAAATTTTATGCCTACAGACAATCAAAGAAAATGAATTGTGAAATGAAACTGTTTACTACTTGTGCATATAAAACTTGTTCTATCATGAACACACATAAAAATTACAACAAACACCACTTTATGGATGCTCCTTCACATATTAACATGGAAAATGCAGAAAGATAAGCCTGAAACTGGGTCAGGTGATAAGTTATGTTTAATTAGAACAAGCGATAACATGAGTTAAAAGTAGCTCATCTACTTTATCTTCTGTAAGGTATTTCTCCTTATATGCATCAAGCACCCCCCCCCCGAACACACTCACACAATGTCATTTGATCAGAGAAATTAGTTAGATTTTCACATCATCAAATCATTACTAGTATTTAGCCAGGGGTTGAAAAAAAAACAACATACCCAACTTTTATCTTTTACAGATTAATTACACATACACACACACACACACACACACACACACACCACACAACTGCTTCTCATTATCAGAAAAGGATAGTGCATAATTTATGGTTAGTTAATTGGAATGCAAAGCTATCTAAGCCTCACTAAGTCTTCACTCTGAACTTTTCTATAACATGAATAATGGCACACATTCTCGGTTGGAGCAACCTTACAGACCGCACAGTGAGAAATCTTCTGATGAGGAGACCAGGGCCAAGCTAGATGGAATGACCACCCAGCTCTCTCAGGTTCCTGCCCTGATGCCCTGTCTAGAATGTTTCACTATGCTATAGGGTCTTTAAAAAAAAATCAGCTATTTTTCAAGACTTTGCAGGCTAGAATCTTAGGGTTATATTTACTTAGCTGGGTTGGGGTGTGGTGAATAATTAAATTCAGCAGGAATGTGTTTCAAAATAAAAATAAAAACACAGCCCACACCCCTTTGGCTCAAATCCTGAGACCTCAAAAAGAAAAACCTCCTTGACTTTGAAATTTACTAGAAGTTGGAAAGGTTTTCTGTACTTGACATGGGAGTCCACATGGATGTTGTGGAAGAAGGAATTTTGAAGTTAGATAAATGATTCTTTGTGTGTATTTGTAACGTTATGCTCATATCAATAAACAATCCCCCAAGAAGGACTGAAGGAAAAATAATTTCTCTATATATCACTTGCAAAGAAATACATTTAAATTTGCTTTTTTTTTTTTCCTGTTTTATCATCCTTTCACCCATAGAATCTATGTGAGGCCCAGCATATTCTTTTAGGACAGTGGTAGAGATGGCTTCCTATGATACCTAATTGAAGTAATCCTTATTTGTAGAAGGGTGAAAAAAATGAAGAAAAATATGCCCTCTTGTGGCTCATTTGTTCTGGTTCAAAACTTATCGACAAAGCTCTGTTATTTCCCCAAACCCAAACATACCTATGTCCCAAGTGGAATGAAACTATTCCTCTGTGCGTTAACTGGCAAGCGCAGGTCGGTGAAGACAGCAGGCATGCATTCCATGGCTTCTGCTTTGTTTAAGGTCAGAAGCAGCTGCTCAACCACAAAGAAATCAGTATCCACGAAAACATGGGATGGCTTTCCAAAATAACCCACAGATTTGTCCAGATATGATCAAAATGCCTTCCACATAAGTATTTTAGATAGAATTTCTCTCTTTATATCGAGGGGTTTGTGTTGGACAGAGTTGAACCATCAGTTTCCACAAATAGGAGAAAATTCATGATTTCCTCACTACTTGTGTTTGTGGCTCTACTATTTCTCTGACTCTGAAACCAGGATTATTTTTCCATTAAAATAGTACAATATGTAAAAAGCAATTATGAGAAGATGGATTTTCATTCTCTTCTTTCCTTTTCTTTTCCCATTGGTTTACTCTGAAATAAGGATGTAACAAGTGTGTAATGTTCCCCGATTCTAAAATATAATTAGCTTTACAATGTAACAAAAAAGTTACCCAACCTGTTTGTTTCTTTTTTTGTTTTGTTTCTAAAGAAAAAGGCATAGTTTAATGGGAACGTGGTGCCTGTGTT